TCTGTATTGGTTTGGAGGCTGTCCTAGAACTAGCTCTGAGGACCAGACTGGCCTGGAACTCACAGATATCCACCTGCCTCTGCCTCCTAAGTGCTGGGATTAACCACCAACACCCAGAGCAGAGCCACCTTTTTAAAAGTGTGTGTGTGTGTGTGTTGATAAGTGTGTGCCATTTGTATGTGATGACCTTGGAAGCCAGAAGAGGAGGCCAGATCCACTGGAGCTGGAGTTATGGTGTGCTAGGATTTAAACTCTGGTCCACTGAAAGAACAACCAGTTCTCTTGATCACTGAGCCATCTCTCCAGGCCACTTTTCCTGAACCACTTCTGCTTCTGAGCAGGTTCCAGCCCTGAATTTGATCCCACTGTATACAAACCTGTTCTTCTTCACCCATCACAAGTGAGGGTAAGCTTCCCTTTAACCTTAGAGGCCACCAATACTACCTTGCTCAACCACCCCTTCCCAGGCTTCAAGAAGTCCTGAGCCATAGTGGAAGGGTATTTTAGTTTCCTTTCTGTTGCTGTGAAAGGACACCTTAACCAAAGCAACCTATAAAAGAAAGGATTTAGTTGGAGGTTTGTCTACAGTTGCAGAGGCTTATGGGGAGTTTCATGGTGAGGAGCACGGTAGCAGGCAGACATGGTGCTGGAACAGCAGCTGAGAGTTTACATCTGATCCACAAGCAGGAGACAGATAGACAGACAGACAGACAGACAGACAGACACACACACACACACACACACACACACACACCTCATAGCCCACACCACCTAATCCAAAACAAAACAAAACAAAACAAAAAAACAAAGAAACAAAAAAAACCCTCAAAAAATGGCTTGACCAACTAGGGACCAAGCATCCAAAATATGTGAGCCTATGGGGATCATTCTCATTCCAAATACCACGAAGGGTAATGTCCACCTGATGTGCTACAGGACAGCTTAGCACAAGGCCACCTCTCCAGCCATTCCTGACCCCTTTCCTGTGACAGAGACTCCCTGAGGTCCACACACAGCCTAGCTCAACCACACTGGAAGCAAAGCCATGGAGATTAATAGGAGGGGTCCTAGGCACAGCAGAGAGGAGTAGGGGGGTGGTGAGGCTGCCAATCCACAAGACCATTAGCACTGGAGGGACTGATCAGTACTGGGAAATTAATGGAGGGAGGCACTGCTGGTTCTGCTCAGCTGGGACTAAACAGTCTGTCCTGATGCCTAGGATGAGGAACAGCACAGGAGGGGACCACAGGGAGGCTCTCAGACAAAAGAGGCCACGGGCCTTTGACCAGAGGGTGTCAGGTGCCTAACTTGCAGTCAGAGACCTAGGGATTAGGGACAGGGCAAGGGGCAGGTCTGGCACTTGTTCTATCCCAATGATACCACCTGCTAAGTAAGGGCTATGTTACAGAGGCTCTCCACACCTGGCTCTACAGAATTGAGAATTGAGGTCCAGCCTTCCCACCACCTCTCCCCCAGTTTCCCATTAACATCTGGCATTTTTATGCCTCCTTGGTAATAACTGATGGGCCAGATGCAGCAGCCAGGGATGTCTGGGAAGGCAGAGCCTTGCACCTCTCGTGGAGCATGAGAAAGACCCCAAGACCACAGTCGGCTGGGGGTGCAGGTGACATAGGAGGCTGGAGAGGCCAGCATGGAGTGGAGACCAGGTCCCAGTGGTTACACAGACCAAGTCTTTCCTGTTAGCCTTTTCTTCAAGCCACCAGCCCTGGCCTCAGGAGCTCCCACTCACCCCTTCCCTACACGTCACTCTCCTGCCCCAGCTGCTTTTCTCCTCATCTATCCTTGCCAGGCCAGTGGAGCAGCTCCTGGACAGCCCTCATCAATCAGTCTCTCCAGTCCTTTTTATCACTTACTTGCACTTTCTATGGGCAGCCAGTGGGGCTGTGGCTCCAGTGCCTTAGCCCTTGCAGGGGTGGAGTTACAGGGTCTGCACCTGAGTAGTGGTGCTCTGTGATTTGCACAGATTGGGCCTGGCCATCTGCTCTTCCTGCCCAGCTTTTCTGCCATTGATTATCTGGAGAGCAGTAGCCAGCCCTGCGTCCTGTTGCTTGTTGGTAGCCAACATCTGTCTCTTTCCAGGTCCAGGGTGATTTTCCAAGAGGAGCGCTAGCATCCCCCAAGCATCTTGATTGTCCCAGTTGTCTGTCCCCAGGTCTACCTAGGGGTGGCGCTGCCACTAAGGGATCTGACCTTGGCATGGTGGTTTTGAGGGACTTTTCCCAGTGTCCTCCATTCTTCCTTCCAGAGCTATGAGAGCAGATGTTAGAAGGCAAAGAGTCACAGGTGAAGCTCCTTGGCCCCAGGTGGCCATGTCACTGTAGTTTTTGTTTTTGTGGTCCCCTATGCTTCTTAGACCTTAGGACCTTTGCTATTTTACATGTGGTTCCTGGAAACAGTAGCTCTCCCCTGACTGTAACCTGCATGAGAACAGACACTCAGGACTGCTGTGCCTACCACTGTTGCCCAGTGCCTTCCCGATGGTACACACCAGAGACTGATGTGTATTAGAGCTCATACACATTAGATACTCAGTAAATCTTGGTAAGTTATTGATAAGTAAGTTATAGATGGAGCATCCATCCATCCATGCATCCATCCATTTAACAATGGTTGGGTAGCAGGCCCTTTGATGGGTGCTGGGATCAAAGGATCAATTAGATGTAGACTCTACCCTTAAGGGAATTAAATTAAAAATTACACCGTGACAGGGAAAATGCCAGAATGGTGCAATGTACTAGGTGCCGTGACAGAGTGGACGCCATAAGCCCTGACTGCAGGGACAGGACTGGGGAGTGGCAGTGTGCTTTCCCGGAGGGTTGGTGTGGTAGGAAGAGGAAGGGCCTCCCTAGACTAAGGGGTGTGAATGCAGAAGGGGCCTCCTTTGTACAGGGAGCCCAGTCAGGCTGGACAAGTTTTGTCCCTTCACCACATAGGAGCCAGCTGGTTTCCATTCGTACCCTTGGCTCCAGGATGAGGAGGGTCACATCCGGGTCTGATCAGGATGAAGACTTCCTCCTCCTGTCATTCAACTTGATGGGCTGCCAGCAATCTCTTCTGCCTGGGAGTTCCACGACTTGAGCCAATTTGAAACCATCTTATGAGATTTCTTGAGCCCAAATACCACCCATCTAGTGGGCTGGCCACACTGTCTCATCTTATAATTCCACCCAAGACATCAAGTTGCGGGTCACAGCTGTCTGCAGGTAATTCCATGTACCTTCTAGGAGCTGTTTCTTCTTTGCCCCCCTCCTCCTTTTTTAAAGTGTGTGTGTGTGTCTGTTGTGTGTCTCTGTGTATGATGTATGTCTGTGTCTGTGCGTAGTGCTTGTACCTTTGGGCGCAGAGGCCAGAAAAGAGCAGGAGTTACAGGCACTTTACAAGGCACCTGGCTTGTTATGCTGGCGTTGGCATCTGAACTCTGGTCCTTAGAATTGAGCAGCAAGCACTTTTAATGGCTGAATCATCTCTCTGGTCCCCCTTCCTCTTTGGCAGGGATTTAAGATTACCTGACACATGTGCCTTTCCTATTGGCTGCTGTGTAGGTGGAAGGTCAGACACTCAAGCACACAGGTGCGTATTAAATGAAGCGAGGCTGTGGGCTGTGGGTGTCTCCAGAGAGATGTAGCCTTGAGTAGAAAGAAGTACCAGAGGGGGATAAATAATGTCTCCTTTCTGTGTGGGTTCAAGCAGGAGCCTATATAACTCAGGAGATGTAAATTGGGCTTGCAATGGAAAATGGTCCCACAATTCCACAGATGTGATATGAGCTCAGCATTGAGAGACAAGCCAGTTATTCCTTGAAGGCTGGAGTAATTTGTTTTGCTTTTGTTTTTTGAAATAGAGTTTCTTTATGTAGGCCTGGCTGTCCTGGAACTCACAGAGATCCCTCTGCCTCTGCCTCCCAAGTGCTGGGATTAAAGGCATGTGCCACCATTCCTGGCTGAAGTCTGGAATAATTTTAAAAGAGGAAACCTAGTTTGGGCCTAAAAACATCTCTGTGGATTTACTCTTTTATGCCACCTATGAACACATGAAAGCAACTGCCCCCACCTAGAGAGGGCTCCTGGATCCATTTCCAACAGTGTTTGCATGAATTTTATTCTTGCTTGTGTCTTTACAGAAAACCGAACAGAAATAATGCTTTGAATCCCTAAAAGTTATCACAGTTCAGCGTTTCAAACACCTCAATATCCAGTCTCTTCCTTCTCACGCTATGTACATTATTTACACACCAGGGCTAGAGTCTGAAATCTCAGCCCGGGAGAAGACAAGAACTTGGGAAGGGGAGCGTTCTATGAACAGAGTGAAGAAGAAACCAACTGTTAAAACAGATATAAAATCACAACTCACTGTCTCAGGCCTTTCTTGTGAAGCAGTTCCTGCAAAGGTGGGTGGGATGCCTAACTTCACAGGGTGAAGGGGCCTTGTGGTTGGCCTGGGAATCCAGGAGAAGAGGACACCATAGGCTGTGTGCACCTGTTACCAATATAAAGATGAGGGAGGGATGTCTGCAGAGAGGCCACCAGTATGGACAGCTCCACTTACCCTCAGTCCAACGTGGCTCCTTCTCTATGGACATGCTCCTGGACATACGGCTGGCATGAAGCTGAGTGCCTGCAGCTTTTACACTGGCCACCTGCCTTGTTTTCCTATGAACTTTCCCCTGAACCTTCCTTGTCACACATGTGTGATACATAGCATAGCCCAGGCTTGCTTTAGGTCTGGCCTTTTAGGAATGCCTAGGTCAAGGTGAGGCCAGGTCTGTGGCTTTCAAGCTGTACCATGTTTCTCCAAAGCAGGCATGTGTGAACCAATAGGCTATAAGAGAGGTTCTCAACTTGTGGGTTGTGACCTCCCACAGGGGTCGTTTATCAGATATTCTGCATGTCAGATATTCATATTACAATTCATAACAGTAGCAAAATTACAATTATGAAGTAGCAACGAAATAATTTTATGGTTGGGGGGGTCACCACCACATGAGGAACTGTATAAAAGGGTGGTAGCATTAGGAAGGTTGAGAACCACTGGGCTGCAAGACACTCTAGCAAAAAGGAAACCTTAAACAGCAGATCAAAGTCATGGGCAGAAGAGTCAGGATGCTTCAGAAACACAGGCCCTGGGGCGCAAGAGCTCTGGGTAAGGGTTTGAGCCACAGCAATGGGGAGAAGCGCTCCCTCCTGCAGGACCCAGGGCCTATACATTGATGCCTATTGGAGTTGCCCACCTCTGCGAAGGAGGAATCTGTAGGGCAGGCAGGACGATCCGATCCGTAGCATGGTGTGAGACAGGGTGGGGGAGGACCCCAGTCTGAGACTTGCCCTGTTTAAGTCTTGAATCTGGCCATCAGAGTAGTAGGGCAGAAGATGCAGAGGTTACAAACGCACCAGCAGAGCAATATATTCACACAGCAGGACCCAAGGTCCAGGCCTGATAGAAGGACCAGATGGAGCGGGAAGGGACCTTCTGAGTTCTGGGATGCTTGGGACACCAGAGCTGGTGTGCAGGTCCAAGTCACAGCAGTGCCAGGCTGTGGGCATACAGCAACAGGCTTTAGGCATGGGCTGGTGGAGTCCACAAGGGGGTGAGCTGCAAAGGAAGACTAGAGAGCAGAGAGCAAGGGGTAGGCTTGGACGTCACCAAGGGATGGAGTGGCAGGACCTTGATGTTGGGAGTGGCAAGAAGGCTCCAGAGGCAGGCTGTTAGGATGAGGAAGAGGACAACCCAGGAGTAAGATGTCTCAGCAGGGTCCAACGCTATGGCCAGAACCGGCCCGTGCCTGGAGGTGATGGGGTAACGGAGGGCCTGTGGTGTAGGGAAGAGCGACAGAGGCCAGGCCTGGCCTTGCCTTGGAGAGAATTCCCTGCACCACAGGCCCTGGGAGAAGCAGAGTCTCGGGCTCCAGAGGCAGCTCCTCTTGACCTAGGCGATGTCCTCCAGCTGTGGCGGACTGAGCTGCTCTGCTGGCCTGTCTTCGTCCATGGCTTCCTCCTCGTCCGGCTTCTCAGCGTTCCTGGCCAGGCTGTCCGGTCCCGACACAGTCCCCAGAACCTTGGTGCTGTGCTCCTGAGCTTTGGCTCGGAGGGCGGCAATGCTGTTCTCCCTCAGTTCCTCCTGGGAGATGGCTGCTTGGGCATCCGGGGCCCGTTCCTCCTGCTCCATCTTGTCGAGCTTGGGCAGGGTAGGCCGTTCCACCTCAGGCTTCCTCCCGGACTCAGCTGCCGCCTCCAGCGACTTTTTGTGCATCCCTAAAAAGAATTGTTGGTATTCGGGTTTAGAAAAGCGCCTGGGAAAGCCATCTTGAACTGAAAACAGCAAAGATAGAGAGAGGCCAGAATTAAGGAGGAGCAGAAAGCCTTTCTTCACACACCACAGTCAAGTCCCACAACTGGACCAAGGTCAGGGGCTGAGATGGTGGCTGGTGGGGGTAGAATTTCATGCCACCAGCTGGGAACCAGGCCTTCAGCAGAGTTCTCTACACCAAACCCTTAGGCTTGAACACCCCTCCCAGCAACCTGTCCTGTCCCTTCAGGGCATTTCCCTTTTCCTTTTGTCATAGGACCCCAGGATAAGCTGATGCCCGGATGACAGATGATGGGAGATGGCAGATGGGGAAGTTTGGGGCAAAGTTCTTGGGCTAAACGAGAGAGTTGGCCAAAGGAACATAGGAGTCCCCTTAATCCACAAAGGGAGATACATCATTCACTATAAGCCCATTTCCAGGCAGGGAGAAAGGAATACAAACTCTAGGGCAAAGGTAACGTCCTTCTCACAGGACAAAAGAAGCCAATGACCCCAGAATGGAGTCACTGTTTGGAAGACCTCTCTCCCATTGGGTCACTGTGGCCCAGGTCTCCCTACCCAGCGCTCAGTCCCTCCCCCCCCCCAGGGTGCCTGCTCTCCTCATCACAGGGGCAGGGTCCCAAGGAGGGCAGGGGCTCTTACCCAGTAGCCATGGGGCACAGGAGTCCATAATGCCATCCTTGGCAGACTTGAGGATGGACTCGGGCAGGGGGATGGAGTGCCTCACCATGGCCCCATAGAGCCCATACTCTGCCATGACGCTGCTCCTGCCCCAGCATTTTTCTCTCTTCCTCCACTTGGCTCTGCGGTTCTGGAACCACACCTGGCAGTGCAGAGAAATGGTCAGAGCTGTGCTCTGAGAAACTCTAGGCCTGAGGCCCTTACTCCTGTCTGCCTCAGAGGGGGTTCTTAATCTAGTTCCCCTGACCCACGGAGTCCCGGAGGTATCTGACTCAGGAAGGATGGCATCAAGACCATGGGCAAAATGGGTCTATTTGTTGTTTTAAATCAAAGTCATTCTGGGGAGGTTAGCTAAGGACACTTCCAGACAAGCCTCTTGCAGGTGGGCAGCGTCTCGTATGGTCCTCAGTTTGCAGCTAGGATGCCTACACAAGTGCGAAGAGTCTTGCAGATAGATGCTCACACCTTCAGTGTACAGTGTACTGCCTCCTGACATTGCAACAGGACATTATTATCTATGAGTTCTGGCTTGAGTACCACACAATCAAATTTAAATAAAAATATAAAAGCCAGATAGGTGGTGGTGATGCATGCCTTTAATCCCAGCACTCAGAAGATAGAGACAAGTGGATCTCTGTGAGTTCAAGACCAACCAGGTCTACAGAATGAGTTCCAGGACAGCTAAGGCTATACAGACAAATCCCGTCTCAATGCCCCCTCCCCCCAAAGCCTAAACCTTATCATGTTTTTGTTTTTTTAAAGATTTATTTATTATGTATACAGTGATTTGCCTGCGTGTCAGCCTACAAGCCAGAAGAGGGCACCAGATCTCATTATAGATGGTTGTGAGCCACCATATGGTTGCTGGGAATTGAACTCAGGACCTCTGGAAGAGCAGCCAGTGCTCGTAACTTCTGAGCCATCTTTCCAGCCCACCTTATCATGTTTTGATTAAGCTTACAGTTTCGAGTTGGGTCACATTCATAGCTGTCCAACCCACAGGCTGTCCCTGTAACAGACCCCTCTGGTTTGCAAAAGGACAAATTCCAGGGCTGGAGAGATAGCTCAGTGGTTAGGAACATTATCTGTTCTTTCAGAGGACCCACGTTTGACTCCCAGCACCCACATGTGTTCACAACCTTTGGAAACTGAAATTCCAGGGGTCTGACATCTCTTCTGGTGCACAGAGATACACACAGGCAAAACACCCATACACAGTAAATGAAATAAGATTTTTTTTTTTGAGGCACAATTTCTGTGTATAACAGTTCTGGCAGGGGCTAGAGAGATGGCTCAGAGGTTAAGAGCACGGACTGCTCTTCCAAAGGTCCTGAGTTCAATTCCCAGCAATCACATGGTGGCTCACAACCATCTGTTATGAGATCTGGTGCCCTTTTCTGGTGTGCAGATAAAGCAGAATGTTGTATACATAATAAAATAAAATCTTTAAAAAATATTTAAAAAATTAAAAAAACAGTTCTGGCAGATTATTATTATTATTATTATTATTATTATTATTATTATTATTTAAGAACAAATTCCCTGGCCCTGTTATCTGCCACAGTCCAGGAAGAGTACAAGGGTGTGAGTCTGTGGAGTCCAGAGGAGTGGGTACACTTGGAGGTATCACCATCCAGTTGTCTGGGGGTCTGGCAGCAGGTAGCAGACTTCTTGAACACTGATCCTGCCACGTTTTCCTGACCTCTCCCAACAGAGCCACCATAGCCACCCACATGCTTTGCTGTCCTCCAATTCAGGCCTAACTTTGAATGGAATTTTGAAAAAGTGGGTGACATTCCCGGGTCAGGTAAGGAATGTGATATGCTCCAGAGCATTGGGGCAAAGAAGAGGAAGGACCTAGCAGAGGGCTTGGTAGGTGACATCCTAGAGACGGAATATTTGGCCTCAGATTGATATGGGCTGAATATGAATGACACTGGGGTCCCCTGGGGGTGCCTGCAGCCGCAGCCTCATCATCCTCCTCCTCATCATCGTCATCACTATCATCCGTACCGCTGGGGATGGAACTCAGGGCTTGCCCCATGCTAGGCAAGCACGCTATCACTGAGCTATAAACCCAATCCCACTACAGTTTCCAAGAGGAAATCCAAGCATCCAGCTCTATTCAGGGGCTCAGGGCGTGTCCGTCTCCCCCAAGCAGCCTTCCTGATTCCAGCTGCTGGGAGAACCCAGTTTCCCTAGACTTATCTATCCTCAAAGCTCTCTCGGGGAAACTGGCGAGCCTGGAAGGCCCCGGGCACTTCTGGTCCCATCTTGACCGCAGGATCAGAAACTAGGAACAGAAAAGCAGTTTCCTGGGCTCCTTCCATCCGCTCGCCTCTGGCGCCCCCGCCCTTCCCTGCGGGCCCCTCCCCCGCCTTGGGCGGCCAAGGTATCAGCTTTTGATGAAAAATTGCTCCTGCTCTATTCTTCAGGAGGCGGCAAAAGAAGAGTCACCCCCAGGGGCAGCCCTAGGCTGATTGAAAAATAAGTTAATTTCAGTTTGAATCGATGGGCCTCAGGCACTGAAATATCACGGGAAATTAAAGCGGCTTCTCTCCCGGGAGCCGCAGCATTGACCCGCACTAATTAATGCTGGGGAGGCAGTGATCGCCTCACCGTGAGCTGCTCCCCCTCCCCGGGGGACCCCAAACACTTCTCATTTAACTAATTAGACGAGGAAAATTGGGTGTTAATTTGTTTAGGATTTTTCCCCCCACTTCCCCCCCGGCAGCTCCCTCCCCGGCCCCCGCCCGGTGCGGGGGCGCAGAAATGAATGCGGGGCTCGCCGGCAGATGGCTGCCCCGGTCACTCTGCATTCTTCTCCGACTTGATTGCTTGATTAGGTCGTTAGCACATTAAAAAAAAAAAAAAATTGCTTGCCGTCTGGCGCTGGCGTGATGAGTGGGACGCGCGGCAGCGCCTGGGTAATTTATCTTTTTATACGGCAAAGAATTTGATTTCAATCTGCAGATATATGGGGCGCCTTTGACACCTGTTTAACTTCGCGCGGCTGACAGCTTAACCCTTTGCTGCCTGGGCCGCGGGGAGCCAAGGCTCGGACGCGGGGCTCCGGAGGCCGGGCACACTGGCGCTTCCCGCCATCGCCGCCAGGTGGCGCAATAAGCGCTTATCATCCCTTAATAGCATAGTCTGGAGTAGAGCCGGCCATACCCAGCAGGGGGCGCTCCTGACGCTACTTATCCAGTTAGGTGCTCCGCAGGGAAGTTCTCTCCCCGCTGGGAAAGACCTCACCTTTGACACTACCTTTAAGTTAACCCATATGGCCATGTTTGGGGACCTCTTTGCAAATAACCAGGAGCCTTTAAAAATAGGAAAGGGTGGGATGCAGTGGTACACACCTTTAATCTCAGCACTGGGAAGGAAGAGGCAGGTGGATCTTGGTGAGTTTGAGGCCAGCTTGGTCTACAGAGTGAGTTCTAGGCCAGCCATGGCTACATAGTGAGACTGTCTCAAAAACAAACAAAAGAAATAAAATCAAAATGGGAACATCACTGCTTCAGAAGCTCCCGACCTTCACAGTGACCAAAAACTTTAGAAAGCCATTGCTGGACCCTTCTTGGGTGGTGGCACTTGTGGAAGAGCCACACTTTTGCCACACCCCACCTATTGGAATCTATAGTTTCTGTTTAGATCCGGGGAGCAAAGATAACAAGACCTCCTCCTGTTACCCCACCGCTTTGGGGAACTTAGGGGGAAAGAGTTCATAGAAAGTGATGTCCACTAGGGGCTGGAAGGATGGCTCAGAAGTTACGAGCACTGGCTGTTCTTCCAGTGGTCCTGAGTTCAATCCCCAGCAACTACATGGTGGCTCACAACCATCCATAATGAGATCTGGTGCCCTCTTCCAGAACACTGTATGCATAACAAATAAATAAATCTTTAAAAAAGGTGTTGGTCACTAGATGTCTGTCCTCTGTGCATCAGTGTTATGAGCCATCTACTTGTCCTGCCTGGTCTCACTCTGTGTTTAGCTCCGCCCCACGGCTGACTGCCTGTTCTTTAGGGTGTCTGCCCACTGTCTGCTCTATCTGGGTATGAGGTTTGTCTGGGACTCATTTGTTCTATTGCCCATCTGGTCACACTTGGTCCCCATCTACAAAGTACCTACTTGTCCCAAACTTCTTTCTCCCAACAGAGGCAAAATCTAAAAGGACTAACCTGATTATAAGTGACTTCCAGTGTCCTCAACTCCTCAGACAAGACAGTGCAGAATAGCCAGTGACAGTTTCCACCCACCAAAAATATGAATGACCAGGAGACAGACAGTCCAGCAGGAGCACAGTGCTCTGGAAGTCATCGAGGTCAGGTGCGGCCAGAGGATATCTGGGATTTTAGAGACTGTCTGTAGGCCGGATTGGAGAGATGGCTACTCCTTCAGAGGACCTGAGTTCAGTTCCCAGCACCCACATTAGACGACTCATACCCCCCTGTAACTATAACAGCAGGGGCAGGCTTTTACGGCCTACCCAGGCACAGACAATAAAAATGAATCTTTGAAGAAAATATATGTAGCCAGTCATGGAGGCACAGACCTATAATCCCAGCACTTGGGAGGTAGAGGCATATGGATAAGAAGTTCAAGGCCAGCCTCAGCTACATAGGAAGTTTAAGACCAGCAGGTCAAATAAAACTTTGTCCCAAAAATCAAGAAGGAAGGAAGGATGCGTGTACCTCATGTTAATGTCACTCTGCCCCTGGAGCACCACATAATCGTATCTACCAGTCTCAGTTTCTGCAGCCAAACACACTCACATCCACACCAGGAGACATGCATGAACTGCATAAAGTCTAGTCTGCTTTTGCCACCAAGTGAGTTCTTTTTTTTTTTTTTTTCCCGAGACAGGGTTTCTCTGTGTAGCTTTGGAGCCTATCCTGGCCCTCACTCTGTAGACCACGCTGGCCTCAAACTCACAGAGATCTGCCTGCCTCTGCCTCCCGAGTGCTGGGATTAAAGGCGAGCGCCACCAATGCCTGGCTCACCAAGTGAGTTTTGATGCTAAAAATCAATTAAGAGCTTTCCCTTGTCAGCAGAGTTTGGACCGAGGAATTCTGGAGAAGGCATTGTTAACTGTGCAGATAACAAAACACTCCTGGCTGCCCTCCATGAATGGTGTGTCC